GTCTCGAACTCGCCCGCCGCCGCTATCGACCCGTTCTTCAATATTATTATCTGGACATTCGTACAAATTATAATATAACTATTAGAAATATACAAACAAATCAATGTCAATGTACTTCCACTGCAGAAATACATACATTATCATATTGCCGTCTTTATTTTCTCTAAGAGAAAGAATGGAAAGTCACGGTTAGTAAATAAAACGAGGTATGGCTTAACCAGAAATATAAAAATCTTTGCTAGAGGGCGCTATAATCGACTTCTTTATAACATAAGTTTTTAAAGTGAGCAATGAAATTAGTTCCGTATTTTTTATATGGCGAGGGTTTTTATGTTTTTTGTTTAAATTGATTCAAATCAAAATTCTACTAACATGCATTTATAGAAATAAATATATCAATTTTGAAATTTTAAATGACAATTTTGTATGAAAAACCAACACAATCTGAGAGAATACTGTTTCTGATAATGGAATCGTCAACTAAGTCGTGCAACTAAATGTTGTTTTTGCCGATTTTTAATAGCGAAATGGTGTAAAAAAATCTCATGATACTGTTCTATTCACTAAACCCATGCATGTTTACCAACCTTACAAACATCTTGACCTTTCTGTCAAACGCCAGAGAAAAAGAATTTTAGTAAATAATACATTTGCATGAAAAACTTTCTTAACATTAATAGAGAAAATCTAGAATCATCATATTTTGTCCATTACAAAATTTTACTAATGATTTTTGGTCCTATAAAATATTAACACTTAAAATTGTATGTATTTACTGTAAAAGCACGTAAAACAATTAAGATAGACAATTAAGAAGAAAAAGGTTATAAGGATGACACATAATAAGGAGAACGTTATTTATAAGATTGGATCATTGGTAGAAGTAGAGCTAGAAAGAGATGAGGGACGGCGCTATGGAGGGTGAGTGAGAGAGGACTATATGTGTACCTGGTCGACGTCGCGCAGGAACTGCAGCTGGTGCGTGACGAGGACGCGCGTGGTGTTGCGCAGGTAGCCGACGACGCAGGA